ATGATAGATACAAACTCTTCTTACATATTGCTAAGGGATAACATCTGACCCATGATCTCCACAGAATTATAAAACTAATACTTAATCACCAAGTAAAGACAATAGCAAGTTCTTAAGTCTACCTGACATGATACAACTGTCCTGCGTATAACTAAAAATGTAGTAATCCTTTCCTAAACTCTTAACAGTCCTAGCATTGCTGAAGAAAGCCCAAATCAGTCTTCTGAATCTCAAAGCAAACTCAGCTGTGAACTCCTATAAAAATAAAAAACAAGTTATATAATCCCAAGATACAATGGCCCAGGGTAATCATTCCCATTTCAAAAGAAGAAAAGAGGGCTGGGGATTCAGCTCAGTGGTGCTGCTGCCTGCCTAGCAAGTGCAAGGTCCTGAGTTCAGTGCGTACCAAAAAAGAGAGAGGGGGGGGGAGAGGGAGGGAGGGAGAGAGAGAGAGGAAAGTGGGTACAGAAAACAAAGCAAGACCAAAACTGGGGAGAACAAACATTAGGTCCTGTAGATCTGCATCTGGCATCCAGGGCACATGGTAATGAACTGAGTTACAGAGGGCTTAGGCTAGGGTCCACTTTAAGGCTGCAGCTTTCCTCTGCACATGTTCCAGGTTCCTGGGATCTTCGTTATATGTTTGGCTTGACTCCCATAGCCACACACACTGTACAGTCAGGGGCTCCTTGCCTGGCCTCTCAGGCCTTCCTTTGAAATCTGGTGGAAACCTCCTTTGCCCTCACAGTTCTTATATTCTTCATACCAACAAAATTAGCTTCATGTGGACAATGCCAACATCTGCAGCCAATACAGATAGTAGCTGGGCCTCCTTGGTCTCTGGCTGTGGCAACCACTGTGTGTCTGGATGGTTGAGCACTGAAATGAATCCTGGGAACCAATTCCTTGGCCTTCTCGAGCAGGGGTCCTGGGGACTTTTGTCTCAAATGAAAGGTTTACACTTTTGCATCAAAAGATGGGTAAGATCTTGCTGATTTTTGAGGTGCCTTCAATGCAATCTCCTTCTTGTACCCTTTTCAAGAAGAAAATACTTGGTTTCTTTTAATGTTGCTTTTCTCTTCAGCAACCATACTTTTTGGACCCAACTTTATACATGATTGCTTTTGGCACAAATTTGTTTTTCAAATTTTTCTATTTTGCTTTTTCACCCACAGTTTTTGTTTTGTTTTGTTTTGTTTTTTGTACCAAGGATCAATCTCAAGTCCTTGCACATTCAAGGCAGGCAACAGAACCACTGAGCTAAATCCCTGGCCCTTACCCATAGTTTTTGCTATAAATCTGGCTAAAAACAGCCAAGCAATACCCATGTCACACCCTAAACATAGAACTGCCTGAAATTTTGTCCAGTACCCCTAATCTCAGTCTCCTGAAAAGTCCCAGGATGTGGACAAAACTTAGATTTTCTGCCTAAGTGCACCACACATAGCCTCTAGTCCATCTGCCAGGGGAGTCCTTTTTCCCTAGCCTTTATTGTTTGCATTCCTATCAGCATTCTTATCATCTGAGCTCTGACCAGAATCGTGAACCACACTCGAGCTTTCTCTAGCCCACATCTCCAGACCTTTCCAAATTCCTCCTTACAAACCAGTCCCAAGGCTTCTTCTCAGCCATACAGTCACAGCCACTTCCTCTCTAGTAGGAATTTTCTGTGTTAGTAAACTTCACCAATGCTTAACACAATACCTAATACCCACAGCTTAAAGGAAGCAAATTAAAGGTTTAATTTGGCCCGATTTCCAAGGACTCAGTCCAGAATCATCTGGCTTTAAAGTAGCAACCTCATGGCGTACAGGCATATGGCAGAGCAAAGATGCTTAGTTCAAGGTGGCAGAACTGGTATAGAGCCAGCCAGAGAAGAAGGGGTGAGGGACCAGGTACTACAGACCTCAAGGTCACATCTTCATGACCCACCCAGACACAGTTCTTCTTGTGCTTCACTAACCCTTTCAGTGGATCCCAAGCCAATCAAGCCGACAGTTAAGATTAACCATCACAGTTTCTACATCAAGAAATCTGAAGAATATGTACAGCCAGGGGTTTTATAATAAGGAAAACAGTTTGCTTCATTAGTTTTTATCAAGTTGCTGGCAAGGAAATTCTGTTGTTGTCTATACTACTGAGTGAAATAAAAGGGCAGAAGAATATAGTATATTACTTTTTTTTGTGTCGGAGGAAGGATGTTAAAATATAGGTCCAATTTGCTTATATTTGCAAAATGGAAATGTAGAATTAATAAAATTAATGCCTACTGAAGCAGGTGGAATTGGGGTAGAAAAGACTGGTGAGAGCTGAGATTTCTCAATATCTTTCTGTGTTGTTTTTATTTTTCAACTATCTGAATATTTTATCTATTTAAAACTCTGCCCTATGAGTCACTGCAGGGGTGGAATTAAGAATACTCTGATTTACTGTTGTCCATGTATAATAGTCACTCATTAGTATACTGTTTAGATGTCTATGTTCCTGTGTGCCTTAGTGTAATTTGTTTGAAATGAGCTATATCTTTGTCCCCAAATCATTTTCAAACTTCATCACTTCTGGGCCAGGGATTTAGCTCAGTGGCACCACGCCTGCCTTGCAAGTGCAAGGTCCTGAGTTCAATCCCTGGTACCAGAAAAAAAAAATTCATCACTTCCTCTATAATTATTTTATTAACATAATGTATTTATGTACATTTTTATGTATATTGCTAAGTATCCAGATTTATGCCATGAGTGTTCCTGTTCCTTTTTTGTCAATACTTTCAAGTTAGAAAGAAATGCATTTTCTCTTCTTTAGTATCAAATACAATTTAATAGATACTTGAAACTTTTATTTACTGTGGATCAGTGATAGCCACCTGGTCTGTTAGAACAAATAGCCCACTATAGCATGTGTGCCATACGTTCACCTCTATTGCTCTAGAAGGTGCTCATGTGTTACTTCATTTGGACACTTTTAATCAACAAGATTTTAAATTAGAAAAGATATCTTTTTTTAAGAAACAGTGGCAAAGTTTATTTGAAAAAGTAGAAGTTAAGAGTGAGAGAGAAACTGGCTCTGCAGAGCAAGCTCAGGCCAAATAAAAGAGGAAAAAACAAGATAAAAATACACCAGGAGGAAGCAGGGTAAGCTATCATGAGGAAAGCCACAATAGCCAGAAAAGATATCATTTGGAAAATTTTTACTACTTTTCCATTATGTAAAACTTCAGTATATTAAAAAGGAGAATTAAGAATGTTTTTTTAAAAATTAAAAATAAATTAGGGTGGCTTCTGTCAGGTAAGGTGAAAAATACAGATTTGCACACTCAAAGAAATAAATATAACATGATCACTTGACATTAATTTGCATGGAGTACAGTTTGTGTTCTAGTTATGAATAAAATCTGAAATGCATAGTATTTTTACTAGTGTGTGTGTGTGTGTGTGTGTGTGTGTGTGTGTTTGTATGTGTGTGTGAGACAAAGCTGATTCTGTTGTGGGAAACAGTATTGCTTTGCCTTTATTTTTTATATTAAGTATATGATCAAAAGTTAGAAAATTTAAATTCTACTAGGAAGAAAACATTTATTTTTAAATTGATCATAGAAAACAAAAATTTGTAAGCAAGAAACTCAGTATATTTTTATTAACGTACTCTCATCTAATGTTTAATTTTGAGACAGACAAGGAAGCTGGATGTATATTTTGAATATGAAGAAAAGATAATGAGCAAGACTACTCTGGATAAATCTCTTCTAGATATAATATCAGACCCTGATGGTAAGTACTGTAAATGTGTGGTTAATATGGGTATCACAGCTGATGCGTCGAGCATTTTTCAATGTGAGCATAATTTAAGGAGGAATATAATGTTTCTGACAGTCAGTGCTAATGCCAAGGTAATAATATTAGTTGTTTTCTGTTGAAAATTTTTCAGCATAGCAATTCCTCAAGTGGAAAATTATTTGCATTTTATTTTATTAAACTTTTCTCTGATAGTATTGTAAAACACTTTTTATATTCATTTGTTTAATATATCTAAAGTCCAGTACCTTTCCTTTTCAAGAAGATTAGAATAGTGTCTCTGATAATGTTTCCTAAGTACTTTGGTTTACCCCAGAGAGTTTCCCAAAAGTATCCTAAGTTAGATTTTACATATCTAGGAAATTCACTTTTAAGAAACCCTATAACCATTCCCTTTGTGTTCAAATATACGTTAAATATTCTTAAAGCAAAATATATTTATAATTAACAAATGTAATTATAGATTTTAATTATACTGATGATGGCATCTATATAGTGCTTTAGTCTCTAAAATTTTTAATTTTAGAGATATTTCATTCAGTTCAAAATAGTTTTGAATGCAAATCTCAGTTTTCCAACATGAGTGAAAGGCCCAGGACCCATTTTTGCATGTAAGCTATTCAAGTTGGAGCAGGATAACTGAAGCCAAAACTTTCTGGCTGGAGCACAAAAAAGGAAGGCCAAGGAAATAGGAAAATACCAGAGAGCTTGTAGAGAGGAAGGAGCTCAGGAAAGCATCTCTGTGAAGTTGTTTATGAATTTTGTGGCTGATCCATGAACTTCATGTGAATAAATCTGATCCCAAGAACATTCCAGAGACTGAAGTAAAGGTCTAGGTCACTTCCCAGTTCCCAGATTGTCAACTAGCCGGTGGGTTAGCTCCCAAGAGCACTACAGATGGTTTTGAAAATAGAAGAATTGATGGAAGCACAACTCAGAATGGTAGGGGCCGGGGATTTAGCTCAGTGGTACCGCTGCCTGCCTCACAAGTGCAAGGTCCCGAGTTTGATCCCCGCTACCAAAAAAAAAAAAAAAAAAAAAAAAAAAAAAAAAAGAATGATAGGGAACCAGTCTGGATAATGCAGAAATATCATCATTCTGCTAGGATTTGTACAAAACCCTGAGTTTCATGACCTCATATTCAAAATGTTGTGGATGTCAGTAATGAACACAACAACTCAAAAGAACCTGTTGTTGTTTATTTTACCGTTCTTTGTCATACTTAGGGAGCAAGGGCAAGTTGGAGAGTGTCTAGATTCCCAGTCGTCATGTTTTGAAAAAATCTACTAGTTTTATTCTGTAATATTTATATAATAGTTCTGAGTCCTTACATCTTAGAACTGTGGAGTGAGAGGAATAGCTTTATTTGTTCAGACCAGCGCTTGCTTCCAATGTTCATCCTGCAAAAGGTATAAAGAATATATGAGTTTCTCTGGACAGTTAAGGCTTTGGAAAGAACAAGGCATTCACTACAAGAAATTTCTTTGAAATCTTAACATTTTATCTTAAAGTATGAGGCAAATATAGTTTACTGTATAATATTTATTTTATGTAAAAGTATGGTTTTCCCAAACCTTGTAGTAATATAAGTCACCTCTGAAAGAGGAGACTTCTGCTTAGGGGCACCAGATAGGGGAATATGTCTTTAGGCTTATCTAGATGATTTTATTTAGCAAGCAGATTTCATAACTGCATACCTAGAAAGTCTGTACACCTGGTTCCCCAGACATTCCCATTTTTATTACCAGTTGTCTTTATGTAATTGTGACTAACACCTACTTGCCATGTCAAAAGTGCCCTGTTTTAGAATTATTGTTGCCCTGCTATAGTCATTCTGTTCTTTGGAGCATATATCTTAAAAGCTAAATCTTAACATTCTAGATCGTTTGAAATACAAAATAGTGGTTTTTCCATAATCACAGCCCTCCATTCCCATATCTAATTTTTTCCATATTTTTATTTTACATTATTGTAATTATAGTACTTATTACCTGTTGAATCAAAAACTATTATTTTGGCTTTTTCACATTTATATATGCCTTGAATTTTAATGAACTTGTAAATGTTCACTGCATAATAACCACAATTAATGAACGTTTTCTTTTTTAACTTTCTCCTATGTAGCAGGAACTCCGGAAGATAAAATGAGGCTGTTTCTTATCTATTACATAAGCACACAGCAGGCACCTTCTGAGGTATGATCTCTGTAGTTATTAGTAGAAAAGGGAAATGTTTATTTGCAGAACTACTGCAGATAGAATTTCAGAAGTTGAAGTAAATCACTATGGTTAAATATCTACTTCATTCCTATCTGTAAAAGAAAAACAATTTGTTAAGGCTGATTCTCTTTACTACTGACTTTTATAGCAATATTTATTTTCACCAGGGGAAACTGTCCACTCAGGAAATGTCTGAACACTTTTAACTTGTTGGAATCTGAATTGAATTCAAGTGGCCAGAGTCTTATTTATGGAAAATAACTATTCTAAACTAAGTTAACTATTCTAACTAAGTTAACTAAGTTGGGATCTTGTACCTTTACATGATATGTCTTGGTTCTTACTTTTTCCCCATACCCCTGCCCTCCCTTCATTCCCATCACCTTCCCTATTTACAAAGATTTTGTTTCCATTTTTTCCTTTTTTCACATTTTTGATACTGATTATGTCAGTTCATAAACTTCAGTGAAGACTTAAGAAGTGTGAGGAAGATTATGACTATTAATAACAGATTAATAGCCCTGAAAATCCAAAGTAATGAAAATATCTGGTGGTGAACTTAAGTTTCTCTCTTATAACATTTGCATAATGGAGTCACTAGGAGAATAGGTTCCTTAAATTTTATACAAATTCATCTAGATTTACTCATCACAAAATTTTTTTGTTTTATTTTGGTTTTTTGGGGGGGATTAAGCAAATGACAACTGTGTTTCATAAAAGCTTAATTTTTATCATTTAATTATTTTCTTATTTCAGGCTGATTTGGAGCAATATAAAAAAGCTTTAACAGATGCAGGATGCAACCTTAACCCTTTACAATACATCAAACAATGGAAGTAAGTTTCATTTTTCTTCTTTAATTCCTGTTATTTAAGATGAGGACACACGGTTTTGTTCTCCCAAAACTGGAACACTAATAAGGAAAAGGAACAGTGGAATGGTGGATTCTTATATACAGTGGCATGGCATTTCCTTATCTGACCCACTCTATGCACAGTGTAAAATTATATAAAACTCTTTCTTAGACAAGTTTTACATTTTCTCCACTAATGACAGGGGAAACAGTTAAATACTGAAATGTTTTAGACATCTAAAAGGCCTTAAAAAGAATTCTTAATTTCCCTATTAACTGGATAAATGTAGATTAATATAATTGCAAAAATTTACAAAATATTGTCCCAAGGAAACAGGAAGATTATTAATGGGTATATTCATACTCTGCTATTAGAATTATAAGTTTTTACAGTTTTTTAGATATAAGTTTTTCAAAATAGCTTTGACACAAAAGATGTAGAGTAGCCAAAGCAGTCCTAAACAAAAGGAATAATGCTATATACTTCACAATACCAATTTCAAAATATATACAAAGCCATAGTAACAAAAACAGCATGATATTGGCACAAAATTAGAGAGGAATGGAAAAGAATAGAGGACACAAAAACAAGCCTACACAACTCCAGCCATCTGACTCTGAACAAAGAGGCCAAAAACACATGCAGCCTCTTCTAACAAATGATACTAGGAAAACTGGATATCCATATAAAAAGGATTAAACTAGATCCCTGTCTTTCACCCAGTATTAAAATCAATTCAGAACAAATCAAGAGGTCTAGGTATAAATTAAAAGTACATTGAGAATTTAAGCACAATCAATGACTATAATCGAGAATACAAAATACAGTAAATGCTGATGAAGATGTGGGGAAACAGGTACCTGTCTACACTGTAGGTGGGAATATAAACTAATATTGTCTACTATTGAAATCAATATGGAACCTCCTCAAAAACTAGAGAAATCATTTGATCTCAAAATATTTCAGAAAGAATTAAAGATAGCATACTTTAGTGAAATGTGCATTCCTGTTTTTATTGCAGTACATTTCAAAATAGCTAAACTGGGAACAGTCAACGAAAGAAAAAGTGGTGTATATATACAAATTGAAATAATACTTAGCCGTTACAAAGAAAGAATAATGTCATTTTCAGAAAAATGGATGGAACAAAAGACCATCATGTTAAGCAAAATAAACCATACTCATAAAGTCATGTATGACATGTTTTCTCTCATGTGGAATCTTTATAAAAAGAGAGAAAGAGATGACAGGAAAGGAGACTGTTAGAGATGAAAAAAAGGATCAGGGGAAGAGGGAACAGAAGCAGGAGTGGGGAGAATGAAGCCAAAAACAGTCAACATGCATGTACCAGTACGCCAAAATGAAGACCATTATTGTATATAACTAATGTGCACTAATACATTTTTTAAATAACTTGGACCTAATACTTCTATTCTTAAGGATTTATCGCAAAGTAATCATTGGAGTTGTAAAATCTTAGAAGCAATTGTAATGATGCAGTTTTTAAAACCCACCTTAATGTCTAACAATAAGATTAATAACCACCCAGAAAGGAAGATTAACAGATAAATTGTAGTATTTCCATAAAATAGAATATAATTGAGTCTAACAATTATGTCATAGATGACATTGGGAAATGTTCGTGTTATTTGGTAAGGTGGAGAAAGCTGTTTACAACATTGATAAATACTGATGGCCCTCCATAATCTTGAGTTCCAAATCTACAAGTTGAAAATATTCAGGAAAACAATCCCTGAGATGTACATACATACTTCATTGTAGTTATTTCCATACAATACAGCACAACAGTTATTTATATAGCATTTACCATGGATTGCCTATTATAAGTCATCTAGAGATTAAAGTACTAAAGTGTATGGGAGGATGTGTGTGGGTGCAAATACCAAACTACTGACTTGAACAGCCACAGGGTTTTGTATTCTTTAGGGTCTAGGAGCAATTCCTTATGAATGCTGAAGCCTGACTCTATTTTCTGATAGTGAGAGTGAGCATGATAAGCAAGGAGAATATGCAGAACAATGTGAAAACTAAATTTAATCATTACAGGATTGTTCTCTTAAGTCAGCAAGTCTCTACCTCACTTCTTGTCCTTAATAATCAGACAGAAAAAAACTGTGAAGTTTGGGATGCATTTGTATTCTTTAAAGATTCTCAGTGTTTCAGTATTAATTGTACTATATATTATTTGAAAAAGTATCTTTTCAGAAAATACCTGCATAGTAGAAATTAGAGTTAGTCACTATTTTAATACCATGATAGTAATGACACATAGACTCCTTTTAATAATTTCATTATTTCATAGGGCTTTTGCCAAGATGGCCTCAGCTCCTACCAGCTATGGCAACACCACCACTAAACCAATGGGGTAAGTGTTTTTAATAATGCCAATCAAATCATTGTACTCCGAACTCTAGATTTTCGTGCTTTTAAAAAACCTAATGTCTGACACTTGTAATACAGAGTGCTTTCACAATGTACAGAAAAAAATGTCAGTGTGTCTTTCCTTAGATGATTTAAAATCTCTCTAAAATGTAATATCTTACATGCTGTGAAATTGGCTTCATATGATTTGTTTTTAACACGTTAAATTTTTCATTTTTGAACATACCAGAAGGTTAAAACTATTTCTGTATCAGTGTTGCTAATTAATGTGGACTTGAGGCTAAGTCCCCAGGGCCAGGGACTTTTTATTTCAGAGTACCTTTAAAGTTTGTGTGACTTTCAGAAACTCTGAACAAGGTAAATCTGATTTCTCTTTTTGGTACTCTGCAAGTTACAAATTTCTAACTTATTTTTTAGAGCTAGAATGAAGTAGGAAGCCTAGAAGAAGACAGATTTGTGCTGACCACTCATTGAACTACTGGTTCTAATGAAACAATTTTCCAAAAACAAAAGTCCTGAGAAACTTTATACGGGACAGAATGAGTGCAGTTGACCTCACTCAGATGGTGCTATGCAGGGTCACTCCCTTCAGAATTGCTGGTGCAGGGAATGGCTCCAGAGCTATGCTTCCCAAAGGTTACTTTCTCTTATTTCTGTTAATGAAGGATTTCCATCCTGTCCCCTCTCCATTTCAGGGGAAGGTAAACACAAGATAGGGAAAAGGAATATATTTTTGGAAAATGATTCCCACATTTTTAATAGTATAGATTTTCCAGTTTCATGTTTTAAAATTTTATGAAATATTTAAATAAAGCTTATTAGATTTGTATATAATTTTTTAGTTAGGAATTATAATAGAAACTGTTATGAGAAAATCTTGAATAATTTGAAGGCTGTCCCTAACTTTCTAGTAGCAGTGAAGAA